AGGACTTAGGATCACTCCCTGAGCGGAAGGCAGACTCTCAACCCCTGAGCTGAAGAAACCTCCCCCCTTGTAAGTAGGGCCAGCCCTAACCCAGAGGCAGCCCATCCAGGCGCCTTCCTGAAATTTTAGCAACTAAAAGCATTCTGTTCACAATAAGAAAACCATTCCCCCCACACCCTGATTGGAATGTCCCTGAATAGGTTCTTGTTGACCCTCTGTGAAATCAACCTGGATGCTATGCGACTCCCGCGGTTCTTTTGCCTTTAGGCGGTTTCTTTCCTTTTGCCTTTAAAAGATCCCTGTAATTGCTAATCGGGGCTCTTTTCCTCCTCGGAGGCGGAGAGCCCGTTTGCGCAAACGTTCAATAAACCCTCTTGCTAATTGCATCTGCCTGTCTGGGGTCTGAGTCTCTGGGGCGTCCACCGGGACACGTTGACACCCGTGAGCCAGGGTCCAACAGAGCCACCCAGGTGTCCCAATTCTTGTTCTGTTTTAATCCAGTTTTTCCATTAGTTTTGGAAATTCTTACCCAGCTCAATGTTATGATCTTCAAGTTACCAGAAACCTATATTCTAGGGACACCTGGGTGGCTCAGCGGTTTAGCCCCCACCTTCAGCCCAGGGCATGATCCTGGAGTCCCAGGATCCAGTCCCACTTCGGGCTCCCTGCATGAGGCCTGCTTCTCCCTCTGCCTGTGTCTCTGCCTCTCTCTGTGTCTCTCATGAAAAAAATAAGTAAAATCTTAAAAAAAAAGAAAAGAAAAGAAACCTATATTCTAAAGTACTTGTCAGAGTCCTTTCCATGAATCTCCCTAGAAATGAAGCACTTTTGCAAAGAGATCAGAGTAAAACAGTAACTGGCAAGAAGACTTCGTGGAAAAAAATGTCCTTTGTGCCTTTTTTTTTTTAAGATTTTATTTATTTATTCATGAGAGACAGAGAGAGGCAGAGACACAGGCAGAGGGAGAAGCAGGCTCCCTGCAGGGAGCCCGACGTGGGACTCGATCCTGGAACCCCGGGATCACGCCCTGAACCAAAGGCAGGCGCTCAACCGCTGGGCCTCCCAGGCATCCCAGTTTTGTGACTTTCTTTATCTAAAAAACACATTCTAGGGGTTCCTGGATGGCCCAGTCAGAAAAGCATGCAACTCTCGATCATGGGGTCATAAGTTCGAGCCTCAAGTTAGGTGTAGAGATTATTCAAATAAATCAACTTTACAAAAAACTTAAACAAATAAAAATAAAAAATACACTCTAGGGGCAGCCCTCCCGGGGTGGCCCGCCTGCAGCCCAGGGCGTGATCCTGGAGACCTGGGATCGGAGTCCCAAGTCAGGCTCCCTGCATACAGCCTGCTTCTCCCTCCTGTGTCTCTGCCTCTCTCTCTGTGTCTTTCATGAATAAATGAATAAAAATCTTAAAAAAAAAAAAATACACTCTCCCCCCTCCTTTTCTTTTTTTAATTTTTTTTTAATTTTTTTATTTTTATTTATGATAGTCACAGAGAGAGAGAGAGAGGCAGAGACATAGGCAGACCCCCCTCCTTTTCATACACAGTTGTTTCCTTTCACCCATACTAAGTTTTAATTATACATTAATTAGAATACTTAACTCAGAATCCTTAATTTCTTTCTTTTTTTTTTTCTTTTTTTTTTAGAATCCTTAATTTCTTATGAAAATAGAGAAGTAAGCAATTGTGGACTGCTAAACTAGCATTCCATGGACTGAAGAATTTATAAATACGTTTGATAATTTCTAGTAGTGTAGCCTTCCTCATAAATTTTTCAATGTCACATAAAACATACCAGTAGACTCACATCTTCAGTGATGTGAGATGCACCTTCAGAGGTGCATAAGGAGCCAAAAGTAAATAAATTTATGTTCAATAATTAATATTCTAGTATTTTATCTTACTTGATAATGTAGATATTCAGTGAATACCATCATTTAACCTAACCTCGTATAACTTTCTCCTACTTTCCAAGCAGGGCCCCCCACCGGCAACTCCCATTTCTCTTTTGTCTTTTCTGGTAAGAATTACCTCCCCGAAGTCTGCACTTCAAGGAAATGGCTCTGGGTACCTGGAGAACCGAAGTAGAACATTTACATCTCAAAGGCACAGGGAAAAGATATAAATTCCAGGAAAAAGGACTTTTATTCCCCAAATCCAGTTGTTGTTGTTGTTTTTTCAGTATCTACAAGCTTTTTGAGAGGAACAAGAGAGGTTTGGGGGTGGTAAAATGGATGGCAGACTTTGAACTGTTTCTAGAGCCACATTTTTGTTCTTGTAAAGATGAGATTTGTCAAGACAGTACAGTTGCTTTTGATTCCTCAAAGAACTGGGTTGCACCCTGAACGTCATCAAGAGGCCAGCTGACCCTCCCATCCACTTACATGATCTTCAGTTTGCTGCTTTACTTATTATTTATCACTAAGATGGAAATTAAAAGATTCTCATATTCTAGGGTTAAAGCTGTGTGCCTTTATGATTTAGTAAACCCTCTCACAGTAGCTTGGGAATATTTTTTTTCCCTTCTGGGTATATACTTTCACTTTAGTTTAGGGAAAACAGCCTTTTTATTTGTTTATTTTTAATTTTTTAAAAAGCTTTTTTTTATTTGAGAGCTAGAGCACAAGAGAGATAGAGCCAGCGTGAAGTGGGGGGCAGGGGGAGAGGGAGCCTGACAGAGGGCTCAGTCCCAGGACTCTGCGATCATGACCTGAGCTTAATAACCAACTGAGCCTCCCAGGCGCCCCAGGAAAAGGGCCTTTTAAAAAGTTCCTCACAGGTTCTGAATATCAGCTTCCAATCTGGCCAACTTCTGACCACAGAGCTCACTAAAAAGCTTTCAAAAAAAAAAACTTTCAAATATTTTATTAACACTTTTTAGCTAGACAAACAGTAAATATTTTTCTTTTTCTTTTAAACCAAAGGTATCCATATCAGGTGAATTCAAAACCCAAACTAACAAACCTCTTCTGACTTAACTATGGACAGAAGAGGTGCCCCCAAAGAAGGTGCAAGAGATATTGCCCCCCAAGACCCAGACTTATTCCTAAAAGGAATTGTACAGAAGACTTCTGGGAATCCCTCTGACAGCCAGCCATGGCCAGTAGGACACTAGTGCAGCCCTATTGGTGCCCCGCCATGGTTTTAAGGCTTCCAGCCCTGCAGTTGAGCTCCCTGCTCTTCCAAGGGTCCCAAGGGCAGAAGAGCCAAACAAGTTCTCAGGACAGAAATGAGACAAAGGGGGGAAAGGTAGCTGTCTCCAGGAAAAGACTGCCAACCACCACTGTCCAAGTAGAAATTCATGAGCCACAATTCAAAGATATAAGTCTTACACAAATGTTTTTCTCCGGCAGCCCGGAGGGCTCAGTGGTTTAGCGCCGCCTTCAGCCCAGGGTGTGACCCTGGAGACCTGGGATCGAGTCCTGCGTCGAGCTCCCTGCGTGTAGCCTGCTTATCCCTCTGCCTGCGTCTCTGCCTGCCCTTCTCTCTCTCTTTCTCTCTCTCTCTCTCATGAATGAAAAAATAAATAAATAAAATTTAAAAAAATGTTTTTCTCCTGTCAGTCTGACCTCGGAAAGAAGGGACAGCATGAAGTTTACCTTCCTCTCTACCAGGCACCACAGACAGAGGTCCAGGACAGCTCACTTTGGTAGGAATTCTCACCCTTTGCTGGCTTCTAGCAGTTTTTCCAGGATCCCCTCTGCAGGCTCTGGAGTGAGTGGGGTGTCCCAGGAGGTCTCATTCTGGTCACCAGAAATCGTAGAGGAGGAAAAATTGTTTTCCACCTACCTTTTTTTATAGTGAGTGCTTGGCTAAACTCTTTTTTTTTTTTTTTTTTATCTCTAGGGAACCACATAAGTGGATACATTCACCTAAATTAAAAGTTCTCCGCTGTGGCCACTATCATTCAAGGTTGATCACCTTTGGTAAGGCCAAGCTGCCTGTTCAGCTTTAACACCATATTTTATTCACCTGAGGCCTCACACTGGACCCAGCCCAGTTTAAGTTGGACCATATCTGTCCCCAGAGCCAGGCCAGTTTTTAAGTCGAACCCAGTCCCTAAAAAGAAATGCTTGAATAAAGGCTGGCAGTTTGGAATCTGACAGCAGTGGAGCTAGGATCCAAGAGGGCCTTGCCCTTGACCTGAAGAGGCAGCGAGAAAGCCTCAAGCTCTGGGCTTGTGGGGTACCTGCACCCCTTGCTCCTTGTTCCTGGGGTGCACAGGTGTCTCCTTTTGTTCCCTCTTCTGATACTAGAACTGTTTTTTTTTTTTTGATACTAGAACTGTTAAAAGGTAAACTGAGGCATATTAAGTAAATATGGTTAAGAGTTTATTTGAAAAAAAAAACAAAAAACAAAAAAAAGAGTTTATTTGAGCAAAAATCAGTTCTAATCAGGCATTGTTAAATCAGAAGTATTTAGCAGCACTCTATCAACAGGAGCTCAGGGACAGGCTTTTATAAAGAAAAGGTGGATGCAAAGCAAGGAAGTTGTGAGTGGTTTTTTTTTTTTTTAAGATTTATTTATTCATGACAGACACACACAGAGAGAGAGAGAGGCAGAGACACACAGGCAGAGGGAGAAGCAGGCTCCACCGCAGGGAGCCCAACCTGGGACTCGATCCCAGGTCTCCAGGGTCACGCCCCGGGCTGAAGGTGGCGCCAAACCACTGAGCCACCCAGTGATCCCCTGTCCTTCCCATTTTAATTTGGTGACTTTGAGGCATTTACAGGCTTAGATTTTGGTTTGCCTACATGAACCACCTCGGCATTAGAGCCCCCACTGTGTAATGGCTTCCTTGTGTGATTAATTTAACACTAGTTACCAAAAAGGATTTTCTACTTGGTTTACTCTGATACTTGCTTCTGAGCCTAGGGTGAAATTCTACTTTCTGAGTCTAGATGGGTGGAGGGAGGGCCTGGAATGATGTCAAATCGCAGTTTCCTCCTCCCCTCGGGAAGTAAAGTCCACTGGCAGGAGTGACCGCGTTGGCTCCAGCCTCACAGACTTAGAATGCTCGCACGTGTTCACAGCGGAAAGAAAGGCCTTTAAAAAAGAGTAACTTTGTAGGAAATTGTATATTTTTCTTCCCAGATTGCCTCATCGGTGGATTCCTTTGCTGAATACCACATCAAAGGTAAAATAAAAACGGGGCTGTGTGTTGGGGTTGGGTTTCTAGGTCTTGAACGATGGGCCTCTGCCCCCAGCCTGCTCACCTGCGGCCGGGCACAGGCGCTGTGGCCACACCTGCCCCATCCCGGAGCTGTTTTTCTTTCTTTCTTTCTATATGTACTAAACCAGTTGTGAGAAAATAGCAGATTCTATGATACTTCAGTCCTGAGACCAAGAACATGCTCTTAGCAGGAACCACAAGACCACCACCACCCTCAGGAGATTTAACACGGTCTATTAGAAAGTCCACAATTCAGAATTCGCCAACTGACCTCCCAAAGTCCTTTATGACTCGTTTTCTGGTACAGGATTCATTTGAGGACTAGTCATTGCATCTTGTTGTCTCCATGTAGTTAGTCCCTTAGAATATTTTCATTTTAGCCTCTGCTTAGTAAAGGGAATTCCTAAACCCGAGGCTCCTCTTCTCTTCCTTATTTCTCTTAAGTCAGGAGCTCACGCAGAGGATCGGAGGATGATGGACAACCTCCCCTAGGATGTGGCTTGCAGACCTGGGGGAGGACATGGAGGACAGTGCTCGGAGCGGCCACGCCACAGTGGGGTCAGGCTTTGTAACCTCCTTTGCAATTCCTGCCTGAAATTAAACCAGTGGTCCTCTTTCAGATGCCATTCAGATCTCTGTGGTAGCTTTGATGTCCCTCAAATCATGGCCTTTCACTAGCTTTTTCTCATCTGTCCTATGGTTCTGTCTGGATGGTGATTATGGAATAAACAGAGATAGGGAGACATTGTAGTCAGGCAGATTTTACTTGTAACTAAGGAAATGCCTCAAGATAACTGTCAAAGTCATCTGGATTGCCAGGGGAAGCTAGGCAGCAGGCCTCCAGAAAACCCCCAAAGATGCCCTGCTTGTATTTTTGAGGTTGAGATCAGAGACTGTAAACAATTTAGAAATCAGGAAATCATCTATTTTTAAAGGGGTAAGCCTAAAAATATTACACGTGGTTTTATATCACAGACAAAGTTTAAAGGTTTACATCAGTTTCTTGTCAACTGAATCATCTGTCTTGGTCTTGTCACAGGGACCAACCATCATGGTGCAGAGGGCAAGGAAGGCCCGACCTTACACTAAAGCCCTGGATGGAGGTTGGGGATGGATGATTGTATTTCATTTCTTCCTGGTAAGAATTTCCTTTCCCCTTTCCTACTGCCCACAAGAGGGTTCCTCTGGAGAAGGGCTCAGAGCAAAGCCAGAACTGCTGAGAGCTGCCAAAGTTCGTGGCCTACACTGAACTTCAGAGAAGGTTGAAAACGTCCTCCTTGAGCAACCAGTTCCCCTCTGGTCCCCTCCTCGCTACCACCCCGACACCTAGAGGATGCTCTGCCTCCAGCAGCACCTCTACCCCGGCCGCATGGCAGTTAGGATGTGCAGGTGATCATACATGGAAGCACTGGGAGGTGCTGAACGTTGCTGTTGGGTGGGTTCTCAGCTCTGCCCGCATACACACGGCGGCAACCTCCCTCTCTCCTGGGGGATGGAGATGTTTGCAGAGGGAGAAGCAGGCTCCCTGCGGGGAGCTGGATGTGGGACTCCATCCCCAAACCCGGATCATGCCCTGAGCTGAAGGCTGGTCAACTGCTGAGCCACCCAGGCATCCCGGGCACACCATTTTCTAATTAATTTCTTTCCCTCCTCCTCCTCCTCCTCCAGAGGCTCTTAAGGTTGTTGTGAGATAGTAGTGATCTGAGTTGTTAGCATGGCCATTCTAGAATATTGTTGAGTCCCATTCCAGCTATGCCCCAAACAAGACTGTAACAGTGGCACCAGCTCCACATTCTGTGTGTTTCCAAATAAGCTAACTTTGAGATGTACCCACAAAGATACCCATCTCTCCTGTCCTCCTCCTCCCCTGCTCTGCCTTACAGTAAGAACCTCACAAAGATGGGACTGTGGGTCACGGTGACTACTAATTAACGATCCTGCAGTCCACAATGTGATCACATTGTAAATAGGATGATGGGAAATCATGCCTCGCCCTAGTGACAGAGGAGGAGAAAGCAGGGTCACAGGTCCTCAGGCAGGATTTATGTAATACAAATCTCCTAACCAGAGGACTATTTGTTAAACATTAGCTTCATTACCAAAGAATGTGGACTTTTTTTTTCTCCGAGAAGTGTCACTAATAAGGAAACTAAGGATGCCCTGAGAGCCTTCCCAGGGGCTCCCACCTCCCCAAATCACAGGCTTTGCAGAACCAGCACTACTGGTGAGGATCTCCAGATCTCCCACCTTTCTTCCCAATAACGAGTCTTACTTTTCCTAATTATCCTCTAGGGATAGAAGTTATTTGACCAGTGTAGTTGGTGATAAGAAAGACTACCTAATAAGCAGATTTTTTTAAAAAAAGATTTTATTTATTCATGAGAGACCCAGAGAGAGAGGCAGAGACACAGGCAGAGGGAGAAGCAGGCTCCATTCAGGGAGCCCGACGTGGGACTCGATCCCAGGACCCCAGCATCATGCCCAGGTGTCTCGTAAGAACCAGACCATTAAGCAGTAACAATGAGGATGGAGAAAACAGGTCAGTGCAATATAGAGGAGACAGGCCTATAAGATTTGGACAGTTAACAGAGTATACCAGGGAGAAAGGGAATCAAGGAGTCCTGGGTTGTTGGCTTGAGTAACTTAGGGGATGATGCATCATTCACTGAGTTAGAGGACACATGAAGAAGGGAAGAATATTTGAAAATGCTTGGATGGTTTAATCCTGGGCAGGGTCTGTGGGACCTGTAATGTCACCAATAATGTGTTCAGCAGCTCACGTGCAGGTGGGGCACAGGATCTGCATACTGAAATCTGAGTCATCAGCAACATCGGTCGGCTTGAACCAATAGGCAGGATGGGTAAAATCACCAGGGATGGGGAGAAGAGCAACTCAGCAGAAGCCTGGGGAAAACTGATGTTGTGATGTTCAGGGTTGGTGGAGAGTAGCCCACGGAGGAAACTAAGACGCAGTGGGAGAAGCTACGATGCAGCACCAGAGAAGCAAAGGCAGAAATATCCAGGAGCTAAGATGAATAGATGCTGCCTTGAGGTTGGATGCCACAGAACTGATGACCGGTTTGTTAGTTCAGCAACAAGGAAGCCTCTGGTAGCCTCCCTGTCAGTGGTGGGAGGTGAGGAAGCAGAGATAACCTAAGACTGCTCTCTAGTTTGTGTAGTCCAGGAAGGAAGAGCTGGGGTGATAACAGAAAGGGACCCAGAGTAGAAGGAAGTTGTTAAACAATAATTACCCAATCCTTTCTGACAAAGCCTGATGCTATTTATTTATTTATTTATTTATTTATTTATTTATTTAATTTATGATAACCTGATGCTCTCTATTCAAAAGGGGCCACTGTGGCTGATCCAGCCCCCCTTTCTAAAGATAATATTGTCCTGAGAGTTGATCTGAGGGAGCTCTGTGTGTGTGTGTGTGGGGGGGATTGCTCTTGAAGATACAATTAAAATGAGGGGGCTGAGTCAGCCATGGGAGAACTTCTAGGGGCTTTTATTTTGGGGTGAGCCCGTTTACAATGTCTGAGGTGGACTCCGGAACAGGACTCAAACCCACCTACCTTGGTCGAAAGCCAGGATGAAGTAATGAAGTCCTAGAATATAGACTTACCTAGTCTACTTGGAAAACTAAGGGAAAATCCAGATCTTGGGAAAAAAATTTTTGATATCTGAGCCAAGATACAAAGTTGGAAAGTTACAAGTTAAGGGAGGGAGACAGAGCTGATGCAAAGGCTGTGTCCTTGGCTTTCTTGACACACAGTGGAAGACACAGACCCACTCATCAAAGGCAAGTCCTATCCACTGACTGTTGCTACACCCACCCACCAAGGACAGACCAGAGAGGAAACTGAACTGGGGGGAATAGAACCTAGCCAAATTCAGGTGGCTAAGAAAGGAAAGGTCAGCAATCATCTAGACACCAGCCCAGAACCCATGTCCACAGAAAAAGAGGAAGGGTATTTTACAGAATGATGCTTCACTGTGGCGTCCCTAGCTCAGGAAAGGATGCAATAGCCACTGTGCATTCTGAACTGAGAAAAACAAGTGGGGGCCGCCTGAAGTTTGCTATGCTCTCTAGCCTCATTTCCAGATAGAAGCAACTTTGAGAAATATGAGGATTACACATTGCCTGAACAAGGGCCTGATAAAATGTCTTTTTCACTTGTGAATGTATATTGGCCAGGTGTCCATGGCACTGTTCACTCTGAATAAGGACAATTTTGTTGCTACTATCAAATAAAAATGGGGAAAACATTAAAGGATCCTCTTCTCACCATACCCAACTTTATCATAGTTAACAGCTTGAGTATCATCAAGTGCTATAACTTACCTGAATTTCTCTCAATCTTCAGTTCTATGAGCTTAACATTTTATCTTCACTTTACAAAAGAGAAAGCTTGACTTCTGTGAAGTAGTTTGCCCAAGATCACACCCCTTATAGGAAGTGGAGCCCAGATTCAGGCCAAGGCAGGCTGACTGCAGAACACTACTTGGAACTATGATGTTATGAATATGCTGGTGGGAACTTAAATCTGTACCTGTCTATGGAACAGGTACAGAGTGAGATGAGTGAACGACAGCGGGTAATGCATACTAGGCAGAGAAAATGGAATTAGTGAAAAGGAAGCCCAGGGTCTGTGGCTCATAAGCGATGCAAAGCCATGCTGGAAGCAGAGAAAGTGGCCTTGGAAAGCTAAGGCCACTGAAAAAAAGAAAGGGGGGGGGGGGACGCCTGGGTGGCTCAGTGGTTGAGCATCTGCCTTTGGCTCAGGGTGTGATCCCAGAGTCCCGGGATCGAGTTCCGGGATCGAGTCCCACATTGGGCTCCCTGCCTGGAGCCTGACTCTCCCTCTGCCTGTGTCTCTGCCTCTCTCTCTGTCTCTCATGAATAAATAAAATCTTAAAAAAAAAAAAATAGAAAAGAAAAAAAAAAGAAAGGGGAAGTTTGGAAGTCCCTGGAGTACACGTGGCTCCTGTGCTGAGTGCCTCAAACCCTGGCTGGGTGGCTTCCTGTCCAGTTTCCCCCTCCTGACCTCTGCTCTTCACTGCCCTCAGGATAAGTAGAATTCTAAGAAACAAATGTTAATAGGCAACAGAAAGAAAACTTGACCTCAAAAGGGATATTCCTCCTCCTGGAAGGGAGAAGGCGGTGCTGGCCAGGGGGATTAGTTGAGACAAAAGAAAAGAAAGGGGTGCATGACCCACCATAAGGTGAGCCTCCAACCTGTTTACTTTTGCTGTTCTGGCATAAAATAGTAGTGCTCCTTTCCACTCTCTAAGATTGTATTTATATATTCCTGAGAGACACAGAGAGAGAGGCAGAGACACAGGCAGAGGGACAAGCAGGCTTCATGCAGGGGGCCCAACGCGGGACTCGATTCTGGACCCAGAATCCCGCCTTGAGCCGAAGGCAGACGCTCAGCTGCTGTAAGCACCCCTCGTGAGTTTCCACTTGGATGAGACATTATATGGCCATCCTATTTAAATATCAAGTGAAGAAGGGTACTCAGTTCAAGAGCAAAGTTAAAGCAAAGCCAATCTGAGAACTGATGGGAACAATTCATCTTTTGGACCAACATGCTTCTCTCACAAAGGTTAAATGGAATTAGCTGTCCTTAGTGGACGGGATTCTGACAATATAGTTGGTCTGGAGTTAGTCTATCTGGGTTCAAACTCACCCCCATCTTGAGCGAATTTTAATCTCCCTAAACCACACTTTGCAAAAAAAAAAAAAAAAAAAAAAAAGACTGACTCCATAGCTTTGTAATGAAGATTAAATGAGATGCTTTTGTGTAAAGTACTCAAGAGGCTCCAAGGGCATGGCTGCCTCACAAAATACAAAATGTATAATGTGAAACCAACAAACAAACTGGTTAATACTGATGACCGGGGTGCCTGGGTGGCTCAGTTTATTAAGCATCTGCCTTGGGCTTAGGTCTTGATCCTGGGGTCCTAGGACTGAGCCCAGCATCTGGCTCTCTGATCAGCAGGGAGTCTCTGCTCCTTCCTCTCTCTCTGCCTTTTCCCCCTGCTCATGTGCTCTTTCCCACAAATAAAGTCTTAAAAAAAAAAAAAATACTGGCGACCTGGGGCTGGTGGCAGCGTGGTGGAGAGGCGCGGAGGGAGGCAATCTAAGCGCAAGCTGCTGTAACCTCTGTAATGGCTTGCCTCACCACCTGACTTGGACTCTGGTCTGCTTTGATTTAGGTAAATGTGTTTGTGATGGGGATGACCAAGACATTTGCAATTTTCTTTGTGGTTTTCCAAGAAGAATTTGAAAGCACCTCAGAGCAAACTGGTTGGATTGGATCCATCATGTCATCCCTTCGTTTTTCTGCAGGTATAAAGCTGGCATTAAGCTTGCAGTCCAAGGAAAAGCACCACAAAGGGCAATCCTGAGAAGATTCATCTGTCAGTCATTTAAGCCTGAAGTGTTGCTAAAACTCAGATTCATTAATAGATAAAGCTAAGAAAAGTTAGACTTGCAGTGTTTAGACTTTGCTTGACAAAATCAGAAGAAATAGGGTTCAATGCTTAAGAATCCAACTATTTAAGTCCATGATTCAATTTTTCATGCCTTGTTTCTTTTCACAGTGCCTGAATACAGGTTCAGTGAGCCAGTCTATCTCGGAAATCAGACCATGAAGTTCTTCAGCCATCATCTAAGCATATTCAAAACAACATATAGAACCAATTCCTCTTCCTTTGCTTTTATTTGGGGCTAAAACATGGTAGAGTAATGATTCAACCTTGTTCTACTCATAGGTCACTAGGTGCAATCTCATTTGTAGATTTTTTTGTAGTTTTTTTTTTTTTAAGGTTTTACTTATTTAAGTAATCACAACACCCAACATGAGGCTCAAACTCACGACCCTGAGATCCAGAGTCACATGCTCTTCCAAACTGAGCCAGCTGCCCCTCATTTTGTGGTCTTATAGTGCATTTTCAAATCTGCTTATTTATAATCCTCTTTAAAACAGACAGCTCTTTTTCCAAAAAACAAAGTAGTGTGGGACTGGGAATAATATGAAACCTAACACAGACACCTTTCTAAAGGATATACAACTCCAAACACAAGTCCTCTTGTTTTCCTTTAGTTGCTCATTTAAATTGCACATCAAACACTAAGAAATGCCAGAGCATGTTTAACTTAGTACTTGCCTCTCCCTTTTTCCGAGGTCCCCTGGTTGCCATTATGTGTGACATAACTGGAGAGAAAATTGCCTCCATTCTTGGGGCTTTCCTTGTTACTGGTGGATATCTGATCAGCAGCTGGGCTACTAACATCCCCTTTCTTTGTGTGACTATGGGACTTTTACCTGGTGAGTCCACTATAAAAATAAGACTGTAGAAGATGGAACTAGGAACCTTCTTTTTTACTGTCTCATCCATGGGCCCAAAAGGCCTACTTAAATTATCTCAGGTCGAGGAGAATATCTCATCTGATACCAAGCCACTCTGTGTGATTCCAAGCTATTGTTTTTCTCTTTAGGTTTGGGTTCTGCTTTCCTGTACTACACAGCTGCTACGGTGACTATCAAATACTTCAAAAAACGATTAGCTCTTTCTGCAGCTATTGCCCGTTCTGGGATGGGACTGACATTTCTGTTAGCACCTTTTACAAAAGTCCTGATAGATGTGTATGACTGGACAGGTAAGTCATTCTGTGTCTGAACATTATCTTGGAATTCCACAAGATAATGTTCAGCTCCTTCCTTCCCTCTGATGAATGTAAGTGAATTTTTGAGCCAGGGAAGAAATAAGCATGATTTCTAAAGTAAACATGTTCCTCCTCTTCCTTGGAGAACACACAGCAGAAGAGATGCTGAACTACTTGCAGGTTTTGCCACAGCCCACACAAGCAAATCCGAGTTCCTAAGATTCATGTTTGAAAGTATGGAGGGCAAAACCCCTTGCAGGGAAAGTGATACCCCTGGGGACGCAAGGATTCCCTTCTCCTTTCACCAGTAAGGCACTCTCTTTTCAAATAGTCCCGTAAGAAAAAAATCCACGTTAAAAAAATACCTCCATCTGACTCACTAAAATAGACCAAGAAAAAGAAGTGGGTAAAATAACATTAAGGTCTTTAATCTTTTATATACGGTCATCTATAAATTTTTCACAAATGAATACCATTCACTCTACAATTTGCTTTTTGCCTGAGCTAAAACATTCAGATTAAAATCTTAAGTTACTGGAAAAATATATGCATATGTACTTCTACATATATAGGAATATATACAAGCCTATTTCTACCTACAGAGCGTTTTTGTTGACTCTTTCCTTCCCAAATGAAAAACTACCTACCAGTAGTCTAACAGTAAACAGAACTAGCTGGCAAATCCCTAAGACAGGACAGCAGAACCTATAGCCAATTCCATCTTCAGACTACGCTGAAATGAAGCAATGACTCAGCCTCCAAAGCAAGATTGGCAACTGTCTTTCAAGGAAATTAAAAACGGCATGAGATGAAAGGCTGGCCCCTCTTCTAAGGCAGGTTCCGAATAACTCTTAACATCTAATTCTGTAATATTGTCCCTAAATCTCTATCACACTTTAGGGTATCTTAAATCCCTATTTAAAACACACTGAAAAAAAAAAAAAAAACACCACTGTAATTTTCTAACATTTCAAATATCCACCCCTTATACTCCACTCTTCCACCCCCCCCCAAAAAAAAACCTTTTTTTTCCTTTTGCACAAATAACACTCCCTCCTTCCAGGCCATCTCCTGGTTGCAGCTTTCTGGTTTTCTATTTTCAAAAGACGCCTTGTCTTCACAAGGATATAGTGGTGTGTAGGGCTAAAAATGAAGTCACAGATTTAGATACTTCAGTTAAATTTAGGGGACAAAGTAGGGTTTTCAGGAATTACTGCACTATGACTGAATATATTTAGTGGTGGAGCCCCTTCTGTGCCTAAGAACACAGTACTGTGAGAGGGGTGGGTGGGTATGTATGGATGTATGTATTTACTTATTTATGAGACAGAGAGGCAGAGACACAGGCAGAGGGAGAAGCAGGCTCCATGCAGGGAGCCCGATGTGGGACTCGATCCCCGATCCTGGAACTCCAGGATCATGCCCCGGGCCAAAGGGAGGCACTAAACTGCTGAGCCACCAAGGGATCCCCCGAGAGGGGTAATTTTTAACCTAACTTCTCACTTTCTCTCCCCCATTTAGGTGCCCTTACATTACTTGGAGGGATCACATTGAATTTGGTGCCTTCTAGTATGCTCCTAAGACCCATTCATATCAAAAGCGAGAACAATTCTGATATTAAAAATAAAGGCAGCAGCTTATCTCCAAGTAGTCTGGTGGCAGTGTGCACAACAGAAACGTCATCCTGTGATGAAACACAAGAGGCCACCGTCAGGGACAGTGCTCTGCAGAAGGCTGGACAACCTGGTACAAGTTTAAGAGTCTCACAAAATAAAAACAAAGAGCTCAACCATGAGCCTACTGGGGACAGTTATGAGAAAGAGGCTATTTCATGGAGCTGTAAACAAAAAGTCTTTGACATGTACCTTTTAAAAAACCCTTTCTTCTACATATTTACCTGGTCTTTCCTCCTCAGTCAGTTGGCATATTTCATCCCTACTTTTCACCTGGTGGCCAGAGCCAGAACACTGGGGATTGACACCATGGATGCCTCCTACCTCGTTTCTGTAGCCGGTAAGCAAGCATACTTTGATCTCAAACTCAAAAGGAAAAATGAACTTAACTTTACAAAAATTTATTTCATTTTATAAAAAACTAAAGAAAAAGTTTTTTAGAAAGGAATTGTGGGAGGGCCAGGAAAGAATAAGTCAGGCTGGTGGGAGCACCAGGCATGTCCTCCACAGATCTGTCACTTCACCATGCACACAGGTACTCTATAACGGACAGTGGCCCCCTAAGCAAGTCTTGTTTATTTTCATGTCAGTGTCTGTCTGACAAAGTATACATTAAGTATTTGCTGGATAAATATTTGATTTTTTAAAACTGGCAACAGACACTCCAGGAAGCAGGAAAATCACAGACAGCTTAATAAGGCAGAGGTTGAAAGGACTGATTCTAGAGCTAGACAGACTTCCTGGGTTCAGGTTTTGCTCTGTATTTCCTAGCTGTATTAACGTGGGCAAGTTAGTCACGTTCTCTGTGCCTCAATTTCCTCATCTGTATTATAGGGATAATAGTACCTATCCTCATAAGGTTATCAGGATTGAATGAGCAATGCAGGAAGAGTTTAGAATAGTACCTGGCCCATCATAAGCTTTCAATAATGTTCTATAAGCATGTGTAGCTAAGAATTTTCCCCCTTGCACTCATAGTAAGACAGATAAGTACACCTGTTAAGGCCATTCATTGATGACTGGGCTGATATTTAAAGCAAATTACAATGTTAAGAATGAAAATCATTTTAGTGGAGTATAAAAATGTAAGGAAGTAAAATGCTTAATTTTTTTAAAAGGAAGTGGGTTTCTCTCAATACACACAATAGGAATCTTAAAAAAATGAAAAGGGATGACATGGAAGTGAACTGTTCTAAACATCTGGAAAGTCTAAGTAGCCTGATGTTAACTTTTCTTTCCCGAATTTCTTCAAGATTGCTTACTCAGTCCTTACAAAACTGACTATACCCCATTCCTGCAACTGCAAAGATACCCCACACTTCAGCCAACTGAGCCTTGTGTAGACAAGAAAATGATACATAGCTAAACTGCTTTTTTCACTAAAATGTCTGGTAGTCATCAATTTAGATCAGATTAGGTGGTGCAACAGGACCACAGAACATAAAGAACATATGAATGTAACAAAGTTTCCATACGTATCCTAGGAAATAACCAAAAATAGAAGTAGACTAGTATGCATTTTCTGTCCCCCCCTCCACCGCCCAACTTTTTTTTTGTGGAGCAATTTAGGAAGAATTTAAAGTACAAAGCAACTGTAGCACATGCTACTCCTGGTAAAATGTTTCATTATTTAAATGCTACATTACTTCATAATCAATAAAAAATAAGAATGTTCTGTTACCATGAAACTGAGATATGTGATTCTTAAATTTTGTTTACACCATAGCTCCACTGTTCAAAATGATCATGCATTTCCAGATTTCCAAAGAAGCAAAACAAAATAAACACATATTTTCTGCCTATTTCCAAGTTAAACATCATACCCTTAAAAGGAGCACTTAATTACCAAAACCTTATGTACAATCATAAGAACGAGTCCCAATCTATTTTTCTTCAGCATAAGGCTTTATTATTTATAATGTCCAGTTTTCCACCATAGTCAGCAACACTGACAAGATCTACCAGTCTTTCAGAACTCTCCCTCACCTGAGGGAGGCGGGAGGCTTCTTCTTCTTCTTTTTTTTTTTTAATATTATTTATTTATTTATTCATAGAGACAGAGAGACAGACAGAGAGAGAGAGAGAGAGAGAGAGGGAGGGAGGCAGAGACACAGGCAGGGGGAGAAGCAGGCTCCATGCAGAGAGCCTGACATGGAACTGGATCCAGGGTCTCCAGGATCACGCCCTAGGCCGCAGGCGGCGCTAAACCACTGCACCACCAGGGCTGCCCCCCCCCCCTTTTTAAATGATTTTACTTATCTATTCATGAGAGACAGAGACAGAGAGAGAGAGGCAGAGACACAGGCAGAGGGAGAAGCAGTCTCCATGCAGGGAGCCCGATGTGGGACTGGATCCCGGGTCTCCAGGATCAGGCCCTGGGCTGAAGGCGGTGCTAAACTGCTGAGCCACCGGAGATGCCTGAGGAAGGCCCTGGGTCCTCTGTAACCAGAGATTTCCTAGTTAGGTGGTACAAGCTTTCCAAACATGATGAGAAAAAAAACAAAAAAACCTGAGGGGTCCTCTACCCAACTCTGGAGGAGCCTTTTTGGCATTGTATTTGATGTATTTGGAACAAGTAAATAAATGATAGAATCTACTGAGAGATAAATGAGACCATTTTTCTATGTCCTTGCCTCAGGATGAAAGTCCTATTACTTAGGGAAAAAGGTCTTATGCAGTTAACACCTTCCAAAGGGGCTAGGGAAAAAGGAATAAGGATTCATAGGGCCGTTTCAATCTTGTTCCAGGTATCACTGAGACGGTCAGTCAGATAATCGCTGGATGGGTTGCTGATCAAAACTGGATCAAGAAGTATCATTACCACAAGTCTTACCTCATCCTCTGTGGCATCACTAACCTGCTTGCTCCTCTGGCCACTACATTTCCACTACTTATGACCTATACCATCTTCTTTGCTGTTTTCGCTGGTGGTTACCTGGCAATGATACTTCCTGTACTGGTGAGTAGACATACTCATTAACAGTGTAAATTCATTTAGTAAAACCAAGTATTAATAATAACCTCCCCAAAGATAATACATATTTTGTATTAATTTTGTAATTTAAAAAAATCATATGCAAGGCCTCACAAACCTGGTAGCTATATCCTATCCAGTTTTTCGTCTTACCTCTGAGGGGACAAATGATGGGAAGACTATCTACACGGGACAAAAAGAAAAAAAAGCAAAAAAGGGATCAGCAGGATTCCACTTTGCTTCAGTCTCCCAAAAAGTTAGGTTTCTGCTTACTTCTTTCAGCTCCAGAAATTTAACTCCTTCTAAGACACCACCTTGAGGGGTTCCCTGAGAGAAAAACGGGCTTCCTGACCAGTGTGGCTCCTCTCTTGCTGAAGGAAGTTCGATGTACTTTAATAGGGATATTGTTTAATTTCTCTGTTTTGACCCCAAATTGACTTAAAGTCCTGTGCCCAAAAGCAATGGAAATACTTACTCAAATACTTCATGGAGTCTTCTTAGAACTTAGGTGCTGAATGTACTGGAACAGAATCCCAGGGAAACTTCTGGCCTGATATTAATATTCGTGTAAGGGCTGTAGGATATTATATGAGGCTTTTGCAAAAACCAAACTTTCTAAAGCTGAAATCAACCTGGGAAGACAGACTTCTTACAGACCAGTGGCTGGTATTTAGCCATAGGTGGATTTGGGAATACCACTGTTGGCTCAGAATATAAATACCACTTCCTAATAGAGAAAAGCAGTGAGGGTGAGGGGAGAAAAAGTACCCTTGAGACACCTCAAAGATTTAAAATAAACCCCATGTTCCTTACTAATATAATGAAAACACTGCCTGCCTGGCACAATTACTCTTCCCTGTTTGCCTCAGCTCTTTTATAGTATCAAGGCAAAGGGCCATCCAAATCACCTAAGAAGTCAACTGCTCATAGTATTTATCCCTCTGCAAGCATAGGTCTCTACAGAACTTCGCCCTCAATATAGCTAACACTGGATTCTAATCCCTTTAGGTTGATCTGTCTGGGAATTCTAGAGCACATCAGTTCTTGGGACTTGCCAGTTTCTTTGCTGGGATGGCTGTCCTTTCTGGACCACCGATAGCAGGTAATAGCCTAGCTGTATTCTGAACAAACTTCAACAGGTATGAAAGAAAATGATCCATTATGAATGGTAACATACAATGACAGTATCGGGGTAAAAAACTGATGAGATTTCCGCTGTTCCTACATTGACTCTCAACACTCCGTCACCAACCCAGGAGAATCTGAGGATTTACACAATAGATAGTAAGAGGTTAACTAAGCACCTTCTTATATTATCTTGGGAGTCTTAGAACTGTGTGTGTCTACTTGCCAGGGGAGACAACCCAGAGTTTTATATGATTCTTAAAGACCTATGATGTCTTCAACCAACCAACTAACCAACCAACCAACCACTAGCATCTTTTATCTGAGCAGGAGTCATTAAAGAACTTCAAGGCTGCCTGACCCCTTTGCTCTTCAGATGAGCTATACACATAGCTGCCCAGGGCTTCCCAGCATCTTTTATTTTCCAAGAGGGATGATGGAGGCCCTTCATATTCTTTCTGTACTGAAGGTGGGAGGACACTTGGCCTACAGGCCAGAATCTCTATGGAAAGGATGTGTGGGGCTAGCCACTGGTAAATATTAAATACAAGTACAGGAAAAATATTAAATACAAGTACAGGAGTTCTGATTATTTAAGCTAGCATTAAGACTGAAACATTATTTTCTATGCACTTTTAACCTAAATGGACATTTTGTGCATGCTGAACATTTAATCCAAGACTCTTAAAAGACTACTCACACAGAAATATTTCTAGAGAAGACTTAAACTTTAGTGTTTTACACACTATAGGTTCTCAATGTTTACATGTACAGATTACTACAGAATTTTCAATCATACACAAAAAGGAATTCAGCTTAAAATTTCCTTTTACTACCTTCAATCCTGAAGTGAAACAGAAAAGATACGATTTTGTCTATCATTTTTTAAAAACTAAGTTTTATGATGATCCTATTTAGGTGTGCACCTAAATGTAAGGCCTAGAAAAAGGCAAATATCAAAAGGGAAAGTATAAGATTAATAACAAAAATTATTGGAAAGAAAGCAAACACCATTAACTGAAGTTCAATCTAGGAAAATTTTTCTAAGCTAAAAGTGTATACAAATATACAACCAACCCCTATTCGTGTTTACAAGCACACCTCAGCCCATGTGGTCTAGCTTAGCCTATACCTCACACCTGGAAAGCAGGCTTGAAATTTTAAATTCAGATTCAGAACTGTGATTTAGGGACTGGTAACAGGAGACCACACACCAGAGGTGCCTAGCCAAGCAGCGCTATAGCTAGTGCCAGCGAGCTAGAAAAAACAGAGCTCAAATATAGCTTGCCCATGCGTTTTCTTGATCTTTTTTTTTTTTTTTTTAATCCTTCTTCACTGGCCATCCCAGTGATGCCTTCAAACTTTCCAAGCCTATTAGGTCCAAAGCAGAGGGAGGTAATAAATACCAGGCACAGAGTATCTTATTCAAATGATAAAGGCAGGTAACATGTTTAGAGATTTCAAGTTTTGTATGTTTTTATATACATCTTAAAATGTTTCAAGAGTTCAATACATGAGAAGTTTTGTGTTTTTTTTTTGTTTTGTTTTTTTAAGATTTTATTTATTTATTCATGAGAGACACAGAGAAAGTGGCAGAGACATAGGAAGAAGGAGAAGCAGGCTCCATGCTGGAAGCCCAATGTGGAATGTGGAACTTGATCCCGGGACTCCAGGATCACGCCAGATGTGTGTTGGGTCTTAAAACCAATTTGTTGGGTCATGATCTTTAAAATTTTTTTAATGAAGAAGAATAGACTAGGGGCACCTGGGTGGTACAGTCAGTTGAGCACCCAACTCTTGGTTTCAGCTCAGGTCATGATCTCAGGGTCCTGGGATGGAGCCCCACGTTAGGCAACATGCTCTGCAGGGACTCTGCTTTTCTCTTTCCCTCTGTCCCTTGCCCCTGCTCTCTTGCTCTCTTATTTAAAAAAAAGAAAAAGAAAAGACTACAACAGAACAGCTTAAAAAACACTGCATCACTTTATTTTAAATTTTTAGTTCATACACACACACACACACACACACACACACACCTATGTAATATAAAGTATATGTGATATCAAACACACATTTCTTACAGTCAATGAGTCAAAAAAAATTTACAATCCTTTTATTACCCAATGTTCACAATACCCTAGGCACTATATAAGGAGAGCTCATGAAAAGAATTTTTAACCACTAATTCTGAGAATATTACCTAGGCATCATAAATTGTATAAGTTCTACAAAATAGTCAAAGGAAATGATAAGGCTGATGCTGATAGCTTATATAAAGATTTTTAGTCTGGAGTTGCTCACAGTATCTTAAGATTATAATAATTAAATATAAAATTCAGTTAAATTTCCTTCTTTATACCATGATCTCTCACCGACAGCAAGGCTAAGCATCTTGTTAAAGGGAGAAACTTCAGTAAAGTCCTTACTCATGTAAGTCATTCCTCAGTGAAACGACAAAGAGAATTTTACAAAGGCCATTAGACTTGTTCCTAACTTCTGACTCCAACAGCAAGGACCAAAGAAACATCAGAGATGTTGATTTACAGATTGACTCAGCTCTCGACAGGTATGGGCAGTCACTTTATCGCCTTCAGCTTTAACTAAATCCAAAGTCTTACTGGTTATAAAGTATTAAATTCTCAACCAAATTTAGATTTTCAGAACTGCAGGAGATGCTCATTTTGTACTTACCTAGATCCGTTATTATCAAATTGCAAAACCTGAAATTCCTAGAAAAAATTACAGGCATATTTAATTAGGAATCTAGCAAACAGTAAAACTTTTCACAATAACCCTCAGTTAAAACACCAGTTAAAAACTGTAACATCAATTACATGAACAGTATTTTCTCCTTCCTGTATGGAAATGAAAAAAGAAAAACAAGTTAGTCCTATACAGCATATTTTAATAATTCAAGGAAAGAAAAAAAAAGCATAAGAAACCCATAGGAATCATATGACTGAGTTTTTAAAAAATACTTTTCTTTTAAAAAATGTAAATAGACATACAGGCAAGACCTTCACAAACCTTGATTAAATATGGTAAGAAACATAGGGGCAACAAAATGTATCAGATCTCAAATGAAAATAACAGACCTGGACTGAAATGGAAAGAAGTAAAAAATTACGCCCCACACCCAGTCTGCTTCTTCTACCCCATAACCCCTCCTATTCTTAACCCTGTGACAAATTCAGTGTTAGTTTCCTGACCTAAAGTAGTCAACAGACGTAAGTGTAGGTCAAATGTCACTGCTCATCCAACCCCAACTGCTATTTTTTGCTGGTAGATGACATCTAGAGCTACAAGTTGGCCCAGACGGAAGCCTTGGAAGATTGTAGAAAAATAAAAAGTACTAATGTTTTAAAACTTTACTGTATTTCTAGTTAATCCCTGTTAACAAAAATGAACCTGCAAAAAGCACTATAAATACAAAAATCATGCCCTGGGCAAACCAAGCATATAATCATATTCCCTGACATATAAGCAGGAATGTGAAATTTCTAATCTTATATCCAACACATTTGACAACATATTTGAGCTCAAAAACGCTAAAGGCTCAGTTTCACTTAAAAACACCACCATCGGGGATCCCTGGGTGGCTCAGTGGTTTGGCGCCTGCCTCTGGCCCAGGGCACGATCCTGGAGCCCCGGGATCGAGTCCTGCGTTGGGCTCCCGGCATGAAGCCTGCTTCTCCCTCTGCCTGTGTTTCTGCCTGTCTATCATGAATAAATAAATCAATCTTAAAAAAAAAAACAAAAAACAAAAAACAAAACACCACCACCACCACCAAGGGCCCATATTAGCTGCCTATAAAACAAAACTGAATGCAGTTCCCCTCTCTTTCACTGCCAATGGATGAATGCCTATATCATGCTAATATATACATTTTAGATATATTTAAAATCAATCATAAATATAACCTGAAAACGCTCTTAAACTACCACCAGTTAATTATTTGATTATAATTCAGTATTCATTCAATAATCATCAAGCAATTAGCACAGCACTCTTCTAGCTGCTATAGGGAACACAGAAGACAGAAGTCATTCTGTTAATATTCTTCTACAGTGCCTAGGGTCATGGTGCAGCACTGTCACATAAACTGCCAGAAATTAATACTAAGGACAATGGTTTAGAGCCTCTAAAACTAAGAATTATTAGAATATATATTCTTTCTCGACTTCATTAATTGAAAATCTGGTTAAGTCACTATAATTTAGTTAATACGAAAATGAGTTAACTCTGTTTTACCTTTATTTTTTATTTTTTTTTTTGAGATTTTATTTATTCATGAGAGAGACAGAGAGGGAGAAGTAGGCTCCTTGCAGGGAGCCTAATTTGGGACTCTACCCCAGGACCCTAGGATTACCTGAGCCACCCAGGCGTCCCTGGAAAGCCATTTCTTAACACTGAACTATAAGTTGATTCTATTCCAATTAAGTTAAATAGTTCCTAAAGAGAAGTGCATCTCCCTCGTGCTGTTAATTGTTAACCTCACACCACGTCAAGTCAACAATACCATGAGGGAAACTAGTAATCTTTACTAGTCTTAAATTACACTAACTCTTCATCTGTGTTTTACAATGGCTAAAATGGAAGTTCACCCATCTAAGCTGGTTTCTTGTTCCATTAACCCAGATAAGGTCATCTCCTCATGAAATGGTCACTCCTTCTCTCTATTCTATCCTCATTTCAGATACAACATGAAACATATATTCCACCTGTTGCTCAGTCCACCTTCTACCAACCATGTTCACTATAGTTTTATTATCTTGGTCTATCAGCTGAAAATTTCTCTATGACTTGAAATTTTATTTGGAAAAATATAAAACAGCTCAATCTTTTGATCTGCTATAAATCTACTTTGGAGGCTGGGATAGGTAGAGGTAAGAAGGCAGAGCAGACTTCTCTGTCCTCTAAATCCTGGGGAATATATTATATCCTAAAGAAGCAAAAGAAAATCATACAGATTAGTTATTCTGTGATTATTTTCCCCATAAACATATGCCCCCCAAAATTGTAGTTTCAGTATTCCTCAGATTGATGAATTCCTACAGAAACATCAAAAATAAATTCTAAATAGTGCTCTACTGTGGTTAAAAAGAGGGCAGGGTGGGGTAGCCTTTCCTTCACAAAGCCAAAAAAAAAAAAAAACCAAGCTTCAAAATCCTAACACACAGCACAATCCTTTTAATGAAATTCATAGCATGGAGCAAATACTTACAGCACTCTTGGTAAATCTTACTTATGTGTGGACTTTAGAGAGCTACTGTCTTAAAAGGCAGTAAGGTTTGGGACACCTGGGTGGCTCACTTGAGCAGCTGACCCTTGCTTGGTTTTGGCTCGGTCACAGTCTGGGGTCGTGAGATCAAGCACTGCATGGGGCTCTGCACTCAGCACAGACTGCTTGTTCCTCTTCCTTCCTCTCCCCCTGCTCTCTAATAATTCAAAAAACAAAAAACCTTAGAAAAAGGCAGTGAGGTTTAAATATGCTAAAACCATGTTTCCCAAGATTTTTCCCATGATGGCCATATAGAAAATGTTTATATAGTATACCCTAAGATGAAAAGGCTGCTAATAGCCAGCCAACAGGTCCAGGGACTCTAGGGATGACTAAAGATCATTTGTATTTGTACACCTTCGAAGTCTGCCACTATGCCCCAGCCCAATGGCTGGAAGTTCTAGTTCAACACTGGCTAGTCACTTATGGAATTCTCAACCACTAAATGGAACTACATTCAAGGAACTTGGGAATTAAAGGGCCTGCTAGGTATATTTCAAGTTTTAACAAGATGACCAATAATAAACTTAGAGTAGTAATCCTAATAAAAAGGATTCATGGGGCGCCTGGGTGGCTCAGTCAGTTAAGTGTCCAACTCTTGATTTCAGCTCAGGTCATTATTGTGGGGTTATGGGATCAAACCCTGCTTTAGGCTTCATGCTCAGCAGACAGTCGGCTTGAGTTTCTCTCCCTCTGCCCCTCTCCCTGCTCCAATGCTCTCTCTTTAAAATAAAGTACATCTTTTTTTTAAAGATTTTATTTATTTATTCACGAGAGAGAGACACACACATGCACACAGAGAGGCAGAGACACAGGCAGAAGGAGAAGAGGCTCCATGCAGGGAACCCAACGTGGGACTTGATCCCAGATCCCAGGATCAGGACCTGAGCCGCTGCTGAGCTATCCAGACGTCCCAAATAAAGTAAATCTTAAAAAAAAAAAAAAAAAAAAAAAAAAAAAAAAAAAGCTCAACAATCTAGTTCTGAGATCAGAGGTATTTCTTTATTTCTTTCTTAGGATGTTACACTCATTTTTAAATACCCAGGGCTTTGCCCATAGAATGACAGAATAATTTAAAAGTGTTGGCTTTAAAAAAAAAATAAATTTAGAATCCTATGTTAAATACCGAGTTTGATAGACTATTAAAAAACTCACTTGCAAAACTGTTTATGGAAGCTGACCCCTATCTTTTTAGCTGTTTTATATTATCACAAGACATATTATTAGACATTTCTGCTTAAAATAGGGTTGTAGCCATAGACATAAAAAAATAATTTGGACTGCAATTTTACTGTATGTAAGAACTGACTGGGTCACCCATGAATTATGCTTAAGGGAAGCCAATGAATCTGCTCGATTAACATGCATCTCAGATGAATCTGAGGCAAGTAGTTTGTAAACACTGAGGAAATGCTTACAAGGGCACTTTAGCTTAGGCATTCTGTACCAGCTGGCAGTGTCCTATTCCTCAGACTGCTGGCTACAGACAGTAATACTCAGCATGCACTGAACACTTAGATGGATGCACACTCTTCTGGATTATGGTTAATTACATTATCTTGGCTTTATCATTCACAGTGCTTTTGCTAGGACCACAAAGAAACCCCATCCTTTGAATGCCAACTTACGTGTTTACATTTAAAGCAGTTAGAATATGATAGGTTCTCTACCAAACAACGATTTCCTTTAAAAATATACACTCAAGAGCCTTAAACTGTTTAGGGCTGAAAGTGCATTTGTACACAGCTTTTCTATATTGTTACCAAAAAAGCACAGAGATCTAATAAAATCAGACCAAATTAGAGTCTCTTTTACTTTCAGTGGTAGAAAAAGGCTGATTATTAACCAAATACGGTAGATGTTTCAATACAAATGAAGCCCTGAATTTAACTTACTTAGTAGTCATGTAAATCTAACCTTGATTATGACAGCTAATAGTTCATAAAATAATATGACATAGCCCTAGATGCTACACTTCATTCATATTTGCTAATTTTATAAATATAAACTAAATACTCAACTGTATGATTAATCTACTGAATGGCACCTGGATCTTAGAATTCTAAAAATATGCTAATATCTCAGTTATCAAGTATGAATAAGAAAAATATTTACATTTTTTTTTTTTTAATTTGAGAGAGAGAGCATGGCAGGGCGCGGGGAGCGGCAGAGGGAGAAGTAGACTCCCCCTTGAGTAGGGGGGCCCGACATGAGGTTCAATCCCAGGACCTGGATATCATGACTTGAGTCCAAGGCAGACATCCAACCAACTGAGCCATTCAGGCACTCCAAGAGAAACAGATTTAAAACTAATCATTTCATTAAATTTTGCATGGAAATACGTGGAGAGTTCTAAAATACGCTAAATAATTCCCTGTCCTGGTAAGAAAATATATTAAATATGTTTTAATCTTTAATGTTTCAGAAAAACATCATTCTGACTTTAAATGTGTATGTGAAATGAAAGGCTTATTACCAATTTTCTGGGATTTATAAAGACAACCACTACAACCCATTTCTCCTCCTTTCTAGAAATCTGAGACTGTCATCTTGCCTGTCTCTTTGATATTTGAAGGGCAATCACAATCAACATAATACAGACTTCTCCTAGCTGATTTCACTCTTTTGCTCAACTCCAAGAAACATTTCACTGAGGTCACTGATCCAACAAGGAGTCAACACATAAAAAGCAAGTTAAATTAGCTGAATTTAAGAGGCTAATAAAACATTCCATTCATTCATTACATTAAGAACAGGAAATAAAGCTAATGAAGCGAACAAAAAAATTAAATGTCTATATCAGAACCAAATAAAAAAAAAAAAAAGGATAGGAAATAAAGACATACACAGTCAGACCAAAAAGAGAAGAGGGTATACTATACACATTCAGTGAGAAATCATGTTCCAAAATATAAATGAAAATGAAAAGATATAGCATAAGCTCCATGAGGGCAGATATTTCTATGTGTTTCATTCACAGATATGCTCCCAGTAGCTAAAACTGTGCTGGCATACAGCACCAAAACTTCTTTGAATAAATGATCAGAGTAACAGCCTTAACTTTAAAAATTTTTTTTAGGATCAAAAGCCAATTTGCGGGCAGCCCCAGTGACCCAGCGGTTTAGCACCGCCTTCAGCCCAGGGTGTGATGATCCTGGAGACCTGGGATCAGTACTGAGTCCCGCGTTGGGCTCCCTACAGGGAGCCTGCTTCTCCCTCTTCCTGTGTCTCTGCCTCTCTCTCTCTCTCTCTCTCTCTTTCTCTCTCTGTGCCTCTCATGAATAAATAAAATCTTAAAAAAAAAAGCCATTTTGCATCTACAAACATAATAAGCATGCAATACTTTAGAAAAGAGGTTTCTCAGAGTATGGTCAGTGGACATCTGGAGGTCCTGAGAACTTTTTAGGAAGCCTAAAAAGGCAAAACTATCATAATAATACTAGGTTGTTATTTGCCATTTCACAGGGCTGACTTTTACAACAATGTTTAAAGACAAGTGCCTTGCACAAATATTCTTTGCCACCACATACTCATAGTTTTTTAAAGTGTTTCATTTAAAAAAGTTCCGTCAAATACTAAATTAAAAAAAAAAAAAAAGGAAAAATGCTTTCTACACCAGGAAAAAAAAAAACATTTTCGTATGTGCCATTAGCTAAATGATTTTGTGGACCGACCCATTCTTGCTTTAAAAGAACATTCGGGGGCAGCCTGGATGGCTCAGTGGTTTAGCGCCGCCTTCAGCCCAGGGTGTGATCCTGGAGACCAGGGATCAAGTCCCACGTCGGGCTCCCTGCATGGAGCCTGCTTCTCCCTCTGTCTGTGTCTCTGCCTCTCTGTGTGTGTGTGTCTCTCATGAATGAATGGATGAATGAATGAATGAATACATACATACAAACATAAATAAATCTTTAAAAAAATAAAAGAACATTCTGATTTCAGGAGACTTACACTCATCATTTAACACATTTGACTAGTCACTTCCTTTTCACATGTTCTCACAGCCTCCTGAACCTTCCCTTCTTAGCCCTCATGATATGTGTAAGTCACGTGTTAGTACCTGACTCCTCACAGAACTGTACAGTCTGTGAGGGCAGGGAGCACATCTGTTTTGGCTCACTACCATTCTCTTCTCCAACAACTAGCACACTATTGGGAACATAATATAAATACTGAAATGTTTGTTCAGTGAGGAAAAAAAGATAACCAATTCTCTCACTTTTTTCTTTGGAAAATAGTAGTAATTCACAATTATTCTCTTTTTAAAAATTTTTTATTTCTTCATGAGAGACAGAGAGAAAGGTTGAGACAGAGGGATTCCAAGATTCCTTGGGAGGCATTCCCCACAATTATTTTCTTTGTAAGAACAGTAGCCTTCTAATAAGATTCATCATAAAATTAGGGGCCTTGGGAAGCTCAGTCAGTTAAGTATCTGCCTTTGGCCCAGGTCATGATCCTGGAGTTCTGGAATTGAGCCCCACATCCAGGCTCCCTGCTCAGTGGGTAGTCTGCTTCTCCCTCTGTGAGCATGTTCTCTCAAATAAAATCTTTAAAAAAGAAGATTCATAGTAAAATCAGATTGTATGTGTCCCTAACTTTCCCCAACTTCCACTGTAAGACAGGAGATGAGTTCTGGGTCTATGAGGACTTTTTTCCACACAGGGTTAAGTCCCTAACTCAGGTGGAACAGATTTAACTTTATCAATAGAAAATAAGGCAGGCAGCCTAACTCCCTAATATATCACAATACATCCTAGGAATTATAGGAGGCTCCTTCCCTTGACACAGTGGATGGCTGAGAATTACTACCTGAAAGGTCCGCTTCACTAACAGACACCACTCCTTCCTTCCAGGCTGGTTATATGATTACACCCAGACATACACTGGCTCCTTCTACTTCTCTGGTACGTGCTATCTCCTCTCTTCAGTTTCCCTGTTCTTTGTACCGTTGGCTGAGAGATGGAAAAACAGTGCCTGACCAGAAAGGAAAAGGACTGCAATCAAGCGAGAGCTTAACAAAACACAATCTAAACTAAGAAGTCACTGGAAACAAAAGCTTGGAAGAAACCAATTTCCTCATTTGTAAAATGAAAAGGCAAACCAGATAGTTTTTAAGGTTTCTTTTTTTTTCATTCTGAGGAATGCCTAATTGATAGAAAAGAGCCACTTAAACTAAGCTGTTAGTATTTAATCAAACAGGCTAAAGTCTTCATCAGTGAAAATAACTACCTTAGGTATTAAAATATAATTCCTAATGTGCTATAATAATAAATTGACAAAACTCTCAACTTTGCCTTGGTAATCCAGCCATTAAGATATATGGAGATGGGGGATCCCTGGGTGGCTCTGCGGTTTAGCATGCCTGCCTTCAGCCCAGGGCATGATCCTGGAGTCCTAGGATCATGTCCCACATCGGGCTCCCTCGGGAGCCTGCTTCTCCCTCTGCCTGTATCTCTGCCTGCCTCTCTGTGTCTCTCATGAATAAATAAATAAAATCTTTGGGAAAAAAAATCTGGAGATGAAAAACTATTCTTGTTAGTGTAAACAATTATTAAATATAGCCACTGGTTGACTAGGACTCTGAAATTTGAATGAGTATTAAAACCTTGTTGAGTGACAAGAATGGTATACACCCTCCAGAGAGTTTATCTTTCCTTATTAGAAGTAATCTTTGTTTCCATTATTTTGTTTCCTAAATTTTCTATGATAAATGTGTATTGCTATGTAATAAAAACTAACAATAGCCAAAAAAGAGAGCACTTGGGCTGCACTCGGTTAAGCACCCAACTCTTGGTTTCAGCTCTGGTCATGACCTCAAGGTTGTGACATCAAGCCCCGAGTTGGGCTCCATGCTTACTGCAGAGTCTGCTTGAGTTTCTCTCTACCTTTCCCTCTGCCACTCCTACTCATGCTCTGTCTCTAAAATAAATAAATCTTTAAAAACACTTTTTAATTACCAAAGGAAACCCCTCCTTTATTTCAAGATCATTTGAATACTATTCCTGCCCATTTAAACAATATTACTTTTCACTAAATCTACTTATCTAAAATATTCAAACTAAACGATCTAGATGTGTCTTTAGAACCACAGATTTTAGGGGCACCTGAATGGCTCAGTTAGTTGGGCATCTGACTTTTGGTTTCGACTCAGGTTGTGATCTTCGAGTCATGGATTCCAGGCCCATGTCAGACTCCATGCTTAGTAGGGAAACTGCTTAGAGTTCTCTTCCTCTCCATCTGCCCCTCCCCTACAAGTGTGTGAGCCTGCACTCGCGCTCTAATAAAGATATCTTTAAAAAAATACAAGTTTTATAAGAAGATTAAGTAGCTTTTAATGGAAGAAATATTTAAACTACTCTTCTTAAATATGGAATAATTATGTTAACTAATAATATCATTCAGACTAAGAAATTACATGTAAATAGAGAGCTCTTCATTTCATTATTTGGGTGATTTTAAGAGGAAAGAAAATACCTAGGGTTCTCTGTAATACCAAGATCCCTTAAAGTCTCTTTCAGAAGACTCTTTCAAACTATTGTTATTAAAAACAATTAAAATTAAATAATTAAAAAAATTAAATAATTAAAATAAATCATTAAAAACTAAGCTAATAATATTATTACTCTATCTTCCCATTCCTTTTTTTTTTTTTTTAAAGATTTTATTTATTTATTCATGAGAGACACAGAGAGAGAGGCAGAGACATAGGCAGAGAGAAGCAGGCTCCATGCAGGGAGCCTGATGTGGGACTCGATCCCGGGAGTCCAGGACCATGCCCTGGGCCAAAGGCAGGCACTAAACCGCTGAGCCATCCAGGAATCCCCATCCTCTCTGCTTTAAAATATCTATTGATTCCCTATAGAGAAAAAAGACTAAACTGAAAGCCTGGCTTTAGCTCCAAAATACCGTACCCGCTCACTCCCTGTTTACGCCTCTGTGCAAGCTTTGCTACCGCCTACAGTCCCAAAGCTTGCCTTTTTCCCTCAGGCATAGTCTCATTCCTCACAAGTTGACTCACTCAAAGGCCACCTTTTCTGGAGACTTCGCCTAACAGGAAGTCAATCTCTGGTCATGATTTCTGTCCACCTTTCTACATGAGTTTACATTATCATTTTTCCATTAGTTTGCAAGATCAACAAGTTGGATGGTGTTCTACTGATTTTTTCCCCCAGCATAAACTTTGGAACCTAATTAATCTGGGTTCAACTCTCAATTATCTTAAAAACAGAAGTTGATCCTATTTAAAACAGGTTTTACGTTTAGATATACGAGTCTAACATTTTTATATTTTAGACTTAAGACAATATGAAAGCAAAGCAAAACAAACACCATCCTCTTAGACAGCAAAAACAGTTAATAATAAATTAAAAAAAAATAATAAATTCCACTCTGCTGCTTGTTACCATATGACCTCATCAATGTCATTCAACCTGAGCCCCACTTTTCTCCTCTGTACATGCGGATAACAGCACCAGCCCACCTCACAGATACACTGTGAGGATGAATGAAAATACTGTACTAAGCAAAATAACCCTCAGATACAGAAGCTGCTAATTTCCTTTCTTCTGCTTTCTAAATCCTTTCTATGTCAAAACAGAAGACAAAAGCAATCAATGAAACCACTCTCATCCATCCTCTCTTCTCTTGGAATACTTTTCTTAAAAGAGACTTTACCTAGAACAATGAGATTCTTTGCTCCTAAGAAAGCAGACTGTACATTTTAAGTAGGACCAACTAAAGAACTCCAAGTTGAATTCTGATTTGGGAAAAGTTTTCAATTAGCAATAATCGCGCCTTGGATAAACCTCATTGGCTATGATACTGCCACTGCGCAAAGCTTCCGATTTGAACAGGCTTTATGAATCTTATGCAACAGAGCAACTCTTCATCTGCTCAATGACAGTAGCCCCTGAACCTGGGTGGTGTGGGTTAAGAAAGTCTGATTCCCTAGGCTACAAGATGTTGAAGACAGTTATAACTAATGTATTCCTTGTATTAACAACAACTTATGATGTTCCTATTCATTTTATTACTTTTCTTTGGACAATATTATAAGATGCCATACATTTTTAAGA